CTGATACAAACACTATCACCCGTTTTTGAAGATGATTCTCACTTCCACAGATACCATTCATGAGGATCTCCCTCACAGCAGACTTTCTGGTCGGTTGGTAGAGTGACTACAAGGCTACGAGGGGCGAAAGGACTCTTCGTTTTTGCTGTGTAGGGTCGATTGGTACCTTTTGTCTCCTCCCAGGCGTAGCCGCTGAATAGGACTGCTTAGAAGACATTACTAAAATCTCCGATCGAAGCCATTACATACCGCATAAACGAGGAATGACTGATATGGCTATCTCGACTTCAATCAGTCTAAACGAAAAAAAAGGACAAATCGCTCGCTACACGTCGTTATATGATGCCCTTTCAAAATATGATTCGACAACAGAGGAGTCGGCGGTGCATACGCATTCGATCACGACCACTCACGCAAAAGCTCGACGACCTCAGGTGAACATTTGCAAATGTGAAGATGTTGTTTGTTACCAGTCTTAATACTTGCTAAAACGTCAAGTTACAATAAATACGAGCCATGTGAACCTAGAAAAATTCTACGCAAAAACCACACTTTCTTCAAAGTTATCCTCAGCGACTGCAACGCCAAGGTTGACCCCAAAAGAGCGACCCAAAAATTTCACATCGGGTAGGATGAAATAAAGAAGGTAAAAGAGTTCGACTTCATAATATCGACCAACACCGTGGTAATTGGAGGCTCAAAAGCCTTTTTAATAGCGACGGACTTGGGAGACAGCTGATGATCAGTTCCATAATGGAATGTATCACATCATCTCCAAACAAGTTTGCCTGACTAGCAACGATGCTTGAAGAAAATAGCGGCAACGTTCAGAAAACGAAGCCTCGAGCCTCACGACCTTCATCATTTGGGACCACAGCGAGTTTCGTGGAACATTCCGTCATCGACAACATCGATGAGGAATATCACCGGCTCGCCGAACATCTCCTCAGTAGTACTAGAAAAGCAGATTCCACTATGTAGTATCAAGAGCTGTCTCTCTTTTGATCCCCGAGCTGATACGACAAACGATCGCTCCAGGCAATCACCAACAGACGTCAAAACTTGTGAAGCTATGCAAAGATACAATAATGGATGACTCAGAGGACCGCAATTACGTCGATGAAGAACCGTACGGGGCCCAGCTCCGGTGTAGAATTAAAGCAAAACATCTGACAACCTCACTTTCATTATCGTCAAAACCATGGCTCGTTTGTTTACGCGCTATCTGTCGCAATGACACAATGCAAGATATCCATTACGTGGAAACCAGCAGGGATAAGTTGCTGCATAAAAATAGGAACTACACTATATCGGCAACTGCCGCCCAACCGGGCTGTTGCTTTCAGTTTGTACTCTTCACATAGGTCATCTTGCACACGAATGGCAGAACGCCGGATAAAGGAAAGCCACGTGGGCAAGCGAGGATCAGGAGTTGGTTCAATACAATCGATCATGGTGGTAATTCAAAAAGCAATACAAAGCGATGCCAACCCACTCTAACTTTTCAGACCCACTTTTGAAAAAATATCGATGCGAAATGGAATGGGAAGACTGGCTGTCGACGACCGCCACTTACACTTACACCGCCTACGGTTTACAGACGAAATCTGCTTCGAATGTAAAAGATCGAATTTTGTCCGAACTAAACAGCGACTGGGCAAGATCGGGTTGTGACAGAGGTTTAAAAAAATAATGTATATGAGAAAGGAACTGAAACCTGCAGCTAATTTATGTTCATATGTAAGAGCATCTCAGGAAGGTTACGTGCACCTTTGTCGGTAAGCTAACATGGTGAGCCACATAGGTTCTCCGCTGAGCGAAAAGAAACGCAAGGTGTGGTGCCACATGAGCATGCCGTCAGCACCACTCAATGCGCTGTAGAAAGGACAATGCTCGATTCCGTTAGCGCATAGAGTTCAGGGAGTTATTGCTTATGCCAGGAAATGGCAAATGAGATGAGTAGAACATGAAGTGCGACATTGCGATGACTGGTTTAGCAGGAAGCTCACTGTTTAAATTCGAGGGGACATCAAACGAACACCAGAGCGAACGCCACAGCATAGTCTGACTTCTTCATGAAAGCTCTTGATGGAAGAATTGTTTGCTTCCTGTACTCGGAACATTGCTATGTCAAATACGCACATCTTGACACGCGATCATTGCGCATTTAACGCTAAAACTCTATGAACATAAATCTATCAAAGATGGCAATCCAGGTGGTCGATTAACCCTTTGACGGTCATAGTGGCACCCACCGGTGGGTGCCAATACGACCGGCGCATGGGACCATGGCCCCAGTGTTGAGTGCCACCATGATTTTTTCCTTTTCGCGTTTGAAGATTATTCAGTACTCTCATATTCACCAATAAACTTTAGTATTAGGTTGTAAGGAAAGTTCTGGCCGTTTTGTCTGGCTAACTTTCGAAAAATCACAACTCATTCAAATTGAATATTTTTATTCAAAGAAAGCCCCATTCGATTCTAAACATTTGTGCCAACGTGATACAAGTCTGTCTATCCCATTCTTATGAAAGTCCGCAGATCTGGATTCCAACAAGAAAGGCAGCCTCCACGTCGCCTTGATTTTGTCCAGATGTTTGAATGGATGGATGTCAGTTGGTGACAGGCCTGATGAGTAGGGAGAATGAGGGAGAGCTCCGATTCGCAGCTTGTCTAACCTCTGGAAGTTAGTTCGTGACGCATGCGGTCGTTATTGACGTGCAAGAGCAGTGGACCGTGGCGACTGACCAGTGCTGGTCTGATTTGCCCAGTTTCGCGTACATCTCGTGGATTTGATCACAGTAGGACTGTGCGGTGATGGTTTCACCTGAAGGAAGAAACGCGTAGTGTATTAATCTCCGGCAGGATCGCAAACTGTGATCATTGTCTCTTGACGTGTAAACTTGATTTAGGAAAGGTTTTCGGAGTTTCACTCACACCTACCCGCTGAGCAAACGCTTCCTGTTATCATACAGGATCCATTTCTCAACACACGCTACAATACGATGGAGAAAAGGCTCAACATCATTTCTTCCCAATAGCGAACTTGAAACCTCTACGCGCTTTAATTGTTTCTGCTCCTTGAGTTCGTGTGGCACCGACTTGTCAAGCTTCTTCACCATTCCAAGCTGCTTGAGGTTGGCATTCTGAAACCAGTGACGAACAGTTCGCTCCGACGCAGTGCCTTCTCCCCTTGCGACATTCATGTTCGTGCCTGCCTCCGTCCGTTCATGTTCGAAGTAAAACCGTTTAAAGAGTGGTCTTATACGTTCTGCAAAAAAACCTCCTAAAGATTCCAAAACCTTACAGACTTCGGAAAAAAGCGCTATGACAGGAAGAACAACTAATGACTTACCTAAGGAGCACAATATATCGATTAGTCTGAATGGACAGCCGCCAAAATTTGAATTCATATGGTGCTTGCGCGAGAAAGGCCAGAACTGTCCTTACAACCTAATATTTATATTCAATGTGGTCCACATGAATGTTTATAAGTGCTTATTTATTACAGACATATATAGTCAATTGAGTAGTACTGAAAAAGTTTAGATACTTTAGCAATGTTTGTGTACGTCCTGGAAGCACAGGAGGCAGTGCCTAGAATCCCTGATTTGCGATTATATACCGCGCGTTCAATCCTTCATCATCAAGGGCCTTGAATGTTATACGAATTTCTACTGCTTACATTATTACCGAAATTCTAACCCACACTGCTCCCAAACCCAAAGCCCAATTCTAAGCCTCAGTTTTATATAAAATAAAATAAGATCTGATGCTACTGCTATGTGGAAATACTGCTAAATTTATTGAACCAGCGACAGAACGTTTTCCTGGGACAATGGCACCCACCGGCAGGTGCCAGTCGCGCGCGAAAGCAAGGGGGCATGGTCCCATGGGCGCTCCACGTCGAATGTGTGTTTCGTCAAAGGGTTAATATTGCTTACGTAGTTCACCCATAATTATAGAGGAAACCCTTGAAATTTTTACTAGTTAGAGGCCGAAATTGTCTCTTTCTTCTCGGTGCTCAACACAGTACCTGATGCCACACTATACGTACACCTCCTCTTTCGCCTGCTGAGGTGGCAGGTATATGGGGCTGTCAGTCACTATATTGACTTTATTGAAATAAAAAATCAAAAGAAGCTGCTTTTGGAAGCGAGGAAGGAGATATAGAAGGTAAAAATTGAATGTATTCAAGAGTTTGAAAAGAGAAGGAAAACGTAGTGCACAGAAGAAGAAATACTCACCTAGAATTCCACCTCCGGGTGCTAACGACTCCCGCCACTTCATCCAAGTTAGCCCAGACATCTGGTGTTCCTTCAAAGGGACGGTAAGCCCTTCTGGAGCCTCAGTGAGCTGTTGCGCAGGTGGCTGAGATATGAGAGCTCTGTAGAAAACTTCGTTTAGTTAACATTATAAAGTTCACAAAACCTATACTGAAGCCACACATGACATCCTTGTGCTATAGGGCATAGGGATGCTACACGCGATCTCGATACACAGTGCCTCCTTGCCCTTAGCTCCTTACATACACTCGACAAAAAGGTCTATCGCCTGCGAAACAATGCAACAAAGCCGGGTGCCGGTTTGTACCCGAATTTTTAGGGGCAAGCGGTAGCCGTTTCGCAGCAATTACCGCCATTTTTCACTTGTAATAGAACTTTCCCCTTTCACCCTTTACGACGCGCGAACGGATGCGTCGAGCCGGGTACAATATAGGAGACCCCCAGCGCAGCCATGTTAGCTTTCCCCTTGTGGAAACTTATCACCGATTATCTACTGACCACTTGGGCTATGCACACTAAAGCGTGCATTATATGTCCACCAGTTGGGCTACACACGCTAATGCGTGCATCACTTGCCAACTACTGCTACCTACAACTTGTTAGAGAACCAATATGAACAGTATCGGTTGACTTTCCATTGCATAACTCTTTCCTCACCGCGCTCACGTGACGTTCACACTTTTCGTTGTGCCCAGGTGATTATGATAGAGTTGTGATGAACTGCAAACAGCACACATGTTCTTTGGAACGAATGATACTTTTCGGAACACGAAGTTCGATACAGGAACAATAGGGCATGCAAACAATATTCAAAATGTGTCGACGCCCATGCCTTTGATTAGGATCTGCCCGTCTCGATCTGTCGTGTTAAAAATGACCCATTGAAGTTTTAACTGGTAGGCATTCAAAGCCTTGAGTGGCACTCACAAATGTTGTCGAGTCATAATAACATCATTATCAAATGTCTTTATGAATATATCTCCTTTTCTCTGCGCATACATCATTAAATGAAAATCCGAGATTGTTAGTGGTCTGATAGGTTTTGCCATGAATTAGATCAAAGCAGAGAGGAACCATGATCCTTCATTGAATCGCAACTTCGCTGGGTAGCAGTCGTAAGCAAGAAGTGAACCTAATTTTATAATCGGTCCCTATCAGTGCACTTACCCTTCTTGTCGAATGAAACACATGAAAGAATCAAAGCCAAACTGTAAATAACTAAGGCGCTAGGATTCAATTAGTGATTGGATCTTGTTCTCTAAGGCATGTTCCAGTGCCTGCCAGTGTTCCCATCCTGCCCCATCTACTCCTATTGATTTTGCTCTCTAAGTCCACAGAAGCAGGAGTTACGGATTTTCGCTGAGACATTCAATTCGCACAAACCCCGCCCCCAGTGAGCGAAGACCGGTCCTACTACCCACCATAAGTATTCGCATACTGTCGTCCGTCTTCTTACCAAGTTTGAGCGCCCTAGAGCCAATTCGCGCACACCCCGCCTTCTATAGGCGGGGTCCGGTCCTCCCACCTACCATAAGCGTTCCCATCCTGCCTCCTATATTCCTGCCAAGTTTGAACTTGCCTGTTTGAGTTTGAGTTTGCCTCGAGCAAAATTGACAATTGTGGCGCGAACCCCGCCCTCTGTGGTCCGATCTGCCACCCACCACTAGTGTTCCCACCTGCCTCGGGTACTCTTATCGAATTTGAGCTTTCTAGGCCCACTGACATAGGACTTATTATTTTTCGCTCAAACATTTATTTCACGCAGCCTACTTTGCCTACTTTGAGAGCCCGGTCCTGCCATCCATCACATGTGTTCCCACCCTGCCGCCTGTGCTCTTACTATAATAAATTTGAACATCCTAGGTCCACGGGGACAGGAGTTATGAATGTCCGTACAGACCGACGGACGGACGGACAGACAGACAGACACGAGCGCTTCATATAAAATAAGGAAGTCTCGTCCATGACATTACCCATTCCTGTACATGTCCCACACTTGAAGAAGAAGCTTTGCTGAGCTCAAATGTGTTCTTTTGATCTTGCCCTATGCCCGACCCGTCCTAAACTTGACCCGACTTGAGCAGGTGCTTCCTAAGGTAATATCGGATTTCTGTACTGAATGAACAAACAAACAATTAGACGCAAGCGCTTCACACATGATGAGCTGTCGTATAGATTTCGCCTAAGTTCCAAATTTGAAAAACCTTCATCTAGCTACTGACGTATTATGAAGTGGATAGTTCTTTGGAGTGCGCATCTGTGAGCGAAATTCACATTTAAAATTAAAAATTTCGATTAGATCAGATTTCTATGGGTTTCCAATTATGTTTCTATGGGAAATTAGGCAAAATGTCAGGACTTCTATGAGAACCAAAAGGATGTTACAAAGGACCGTTTTGTTCCTCGCATCCCAATGTTATCGCTGATACAGAAACACACACCAACCTATTTAAGACATCACAATTCAACGATTACTCACTTATGCAACTCCTGCAATGCCTTGTCACGTTTGAAACGGTGAAGAGGAGGCTGCGGATCCACTACATCGATTATCTCTGAAGTAAATCACACATAGTGGCCAGGTCATTTAAAGTGATGATTTACGATTTAAAAATTACCCGGAGGAAGTGGACGGCGTTCACTGAAAATAGGAAAGGAAGGACGCTGCTGCTTCTGGTCAGCCACAACTACCACTTCTTCCACTTTTTTGGGCCTTTGAAAAGTCACAGAAGTGAAAATAACCGGTATGAACAACATAATGTCCGTAAAACACATATCTCCTTCCTGATCCTTAACTCCTCAGAAATATCACTGATATGTCGGGATAGTTTCTCGCCGCCATCTGGCAGCAGGAGTGGGCGACTACTCAATTTCTAAAGAGACAAAATATAAATGACTGAATTAATGGGAGCCGGAGAGACATTTCACAGGCTCGATGAAAGCGACTTACATTTAGATTAGCAAGCTTGTCCTCAAGGACTCCAGTAGTGTCATGGGAAAACTTAGAAACCGTTCTGATGGCCTGCAAAACGAGAAATTGTTCAATATTGCGACTGAGACGAAACACGCGAACGTCTCTGTTCTGTTTGGGAATTTTAACCGTATATACCTTCACATCCTTCGGCGAGTGCGATTTCTCTTTCTCTGGTCTTTTCTCGGTAGAAGTTTCCAGATCAACGATATCATCTTCTTCTTTGTCCTCATCAGAGGAGGATTCAATCGTGATGACATCAAAATCTGCATAATTCCGTGAACGGGACTTCATTTCGGTTTCAGCTATTCTACCAATGTTTTCACTCTCGTTAAGAACGATAACATCATCGGGCTCAGGCGACTGCTCCGTGGTAACGACGGACTCTTCTACCATCTCGTCTTCTGGTAATTCGCTTACATGTTTTGCGACATCTGTTGACTTCTCTGGTTTTGAAAACGGAAGAACGCGCTGAGGAACCTGAATATCCTACTCCTAACAATTGCCTCCATGGGTGTAATCGAAACTCTTAAGTTTGTGGCTGCCGACCTAGAGTGCTAACGTTTTGCTCAGATTAAGATGACGAGGTACGAACTCTTGATTTCCGAGAGCCAAGCGCCCCCACTAATTCGAAAAGTGGACTGAATTTTGAAGTGAATGTTGTTGAAATGAGTGCATATTTGTACGGAGATAACCGTAAAGCCACTTTCACAGTCATGGCAAGGAAATAATTGATAGATTCCATTGCAAATTAAGCAGATTACAAAGAAGCATATAATATCATGAGAACCACGTTACACATTGAAGCCAATGATTGCCCCGCGAGTGGTTAGGTGAGCAAGAAAAAACAGAATAGCCAACCGCATCGCCCCGCGATTTCGAGAGCGCTTTTCGCAGTAACCGGTCACGCAGCTTTCCTTTTGAAGATGGATCAGCAGCTATTCGGGAAGTGAACGGAGACAGGGGCTCTGAAAAGATCTATCGTCGTAACGAACTTGATATACAGAACACTGTGCATGACGTAATATGTGCAATTACAAAGATCAAATATTGTTTTGAGAGGAGCAATTTTGCATTTTCGTATGGAGTCGAAAGCAAAGTTCAACATCATTCGAAAAAAGCAGCAGAACTAGACTTCTATGAATCAATAATTTTAAAAACCAGCAAACCAACCTGGTGAATCATTTCTTCCGATGAATGATCGACTCCGATCTGCAGCGGCTCCTTTAAAGAGGAAGCCATCTCGTCAAGCTAAGGAACCCAAGTAAATAACATACCATAGGGAGAGCCTTCATCCAGCGTGAGCGAGGCTAGTGAATCTGACAATGTTGGTCCCTAAAAGGAAGATAGAATCATAGAAATATGAACTAGCCTATATTACTTACAGATTGAGCAGCTGCTGATATTGGAGTTGACGTAAAGTTGAATGGCTTTGATTTCTAAAAAACAAATAGTTCTACTAAAGCGATACGGAGTCAAAGTTTGTATGAAGATAAATCTATTCGGTTTTGGAATTAATCATCTTGCAGATGGTGATTACTTGTTGATATTTACCAATATGAATCGCTTTCTGCCAGCGTAGAGGCAGCTCCTCCTGTGAATGCTCGACGAATTCCCTAAGTTGCGTTTACGCTTCGAAGTTCTCCTCGGAGATAACGAAAGAGCTTTTCGGTAGACCTTAGGGAAAATGCGAGTTCGCACATGAAAATCTAGCGGGTTTAATCAGCACCAGTTGAACTACGCGCGCTAACGCACCACGTGCCCACTGCCGCTCATTTAAGACTTGTTAGAGGAGCAACTTAAGCAGTATCGGTTGAATTCCCATTTTACAACTGTTTCCTCACCGCGCTCACGTGACATTCACGCTCGTTATCGTGCCTACGTGACTTTCGGATGGACGCACAAACCGACGTACAAACAGACACACAAAGTCACCGCGAAACAGAACTCACTAGTGTTCCTAGATCCATCGGAGTTGGAGGAGTAGCACACACAACACCCTCAACAAGTAACATCAGAAGCGACATTTTTGAGTCACAGTGCAAAATGTATTTAAAATAAAGAGGCAGATACCTGCATGGAATCATTCAAAGGATTTTGACCAACAACTTCCGAACTTTGACCTTCATCGCCATGCGGATCTTCGTCAACAATCTGCTGCAAAGTTAACTATAAAGTTCGCACTCAGAAATAGTAGGCACTGTTAGATAAAAGGTCTGGGACGTAATCCTTTGAAAGCATACAAAAAATCTAATGTAAACGCATGTCGTGAACCATGGAGCATAAATCCACGGTTTCAGAAGAAGTCAGTAGCGAACAATATGAACAGCACTGACGCTTTACCTCTGCTCAAACAATCGAATATGGCTGGAAATATGACAAGGGAGATGAAATAGCCATTTCATACACAAACCTACATGAGGTTACCTCGGAAATGTTAAGCATTTTTTGCTCAGCTCAGACCATATTTGAAGTGTATATAAAGGCAAAAATATACAAGTGCATATGGTGGTAACATGCGGAAGAAAGATGTCTTTCACATTAAGAGAAGAATATTGACTTAAAGTACGAATGTAACATGGAGAACAATGATAATATTTCAAAAAACGCAAATGCTAAGAGTACCTTCGTTGGTTCCAATCGCTCAGAAGTAGAGAAGTATAATACATCATCGTCATCTGTCAGCTAAAAAAATTACTAGGCTACAATATAATTGGACCACGCACATCAGGCAGATATTAAGATTCACTTTTATTCAGCCTCCGCAAATGACAAATGGTAAGTGAATTAAAACCCCAGTGACACGAATAATGAACTTGTTTTCTTTAGTTAGAAAACCAAAGCAAAAACTTACATAACCATTCTCAGACTTAGTTGGTTCATCTCTAACACGGCTAAAGGAGTTTGACATCTTTCTGAAATGAAGTGAATCGGGTCCTATTTGAAAAGTGCATAGCAATACGAATAAGAATTTATCTCACTAAGCTAATACTACCATTTTAAAACTCCTGGTTATACAACAAGTGAAATCAAGGGTTTCGCATGCAAGGGCAACTATTTCCATCTAGAGNACCTTCGTTGGTTCCAATCGCTCAGAAGTAGAGAAGTATAATACATCATCGTCATCTGTCAGCTAAAAAAAAAGTTATTAGGCTACAATACACCACGGACCACGTATTAGGCAGATATTAAAAATCACTTTCATTCAGCTTTCAACTGACAAATGGTCAGTGAATTAAAACCCCAGTGACACGAATAATGAACTTGTTTTCTTTAGTTAGAAAACCAAAGCAAAAACTTACATAACCATTCTCAGACTTAGTTGGTTCATCTCTAACACGGCTAAAGGAGTTTGACATCTTTCTGAAATGAAGTGAATCGGGTCCTATTTGAAAAGTGCATAGCAATACGAATAAGAATTTATCTCACTAAGCTAATACTACCATTTTAAAACTCCTGGTTATACAACAAGTGAAATCAAGGGTTTCGCATGCAAGGGCAACTATTTCCATCTAGAAAAAGGCTTATTTACATTTGCGTCTACGTAACAGCTATTATATAGTCATGATAATATAATCAAACCCAGTCACACTCAAGCAATTAGCGCAAATAGAGCCTTAGCGTTCTTCATGAAACACCAACGATTTTTTGTTAGTAGAGTGTATAAGTAAACAAATAAATAAATTTCATGGAGTAAGTTATTGTCCTAAGGATTATTAGCTTGGAAATGATGACGCAGTTGTAAATCTACTTTATGCCGGAAAAAATCAGGCCACCAACAGCGGCAAAGTCCAGATGGAAGGTGGATCGAAGTTGCTGTGTAACGAACCCAATTAAAAATTCCCACCAACTGTCGTTTGAATTACGTCCGCGCGCGAATATTTGGATACGAAACAGGGTGCAATTGGAGCGCGTTATGTGCTCAGGGAGATGGCAGTATTTCTATCCGAATTCTCACAACCAGAGACACTGCCCTATGAAATGGATAGGTGTCGTTCAAGATTACTCCTATCCTCTACATTTTCACTGGTGTGCGAGTGTTTCCATTGAAGTAGCATGGTTCCTTAATTGTACCCCAGCAGAGTCCGTATGATCCAATATCTACGTTGGGGAACTTGTGCAAACTGATGAACAATGAAAAAACATAATTGAAATAATTGACCAAACTTACGATTTGTTTCACCTTTGAGTCATACGAACTATAGTTTTGCCATCATCTGAGGATCGCCAGTCACTAACAAGTGATGACTAAATGGTAAACGTAAATATGCTTCTGAGATTTGCATGGAAAAGAATCGTAATCGAAGACTAAAGTTAGGTAGAGCAAGTACTGAGCAATATTTATAGTAAAGGATAAAGTCTTGGGGCGTTAGTCAATCCCATTGAGTGATGTGCCGACGCATTCAACTTCCATTTGGAATCGTAGTGGCATATTGAATGCCTATGTGGCCTATACAATGACTTGCGGTGGCCGGCCGATGTACAAGTCAGTGCTTTTATCCTTCCAGACGAGTCCGGTACCAATTAAACGACCCTGGAGGGACTCAAAGTTTGGTTGGCTTAGCCGGATATTGATCCGGTGTTCGAACTTGTGTCCATGCATGTGAGATGGTGTCACTCGCCACTACACCACTTCCGCCCAATATACTTCACGATATGAAAAATTGCTACTTCGAATAGGTAACATAATATTGTACCTCTCACATTATTAAGGGTCTGAACATATACATCAACCATGGCTTCAAGGTTGTGCATCGGATACGAAAGCCAGTTTTCCACAATTCACTTGTAGGACCAAGGATGAGAAAGAATATGAATGTAGGGATACATGTATTACTTTTGTATGAGGAAACTTATACTGATAGTACTGTAGCATACAGAGGCCCTAATAATGCAAAAACATGGCCACATACATATAAACAAAGTGAAGCACATACTATCTAACTCCGTTTGTGTTTGTTAGGTCAAAACCATGTGAAATGTAGCTGAACATAAATTAACAGACTTGTGGTGATGCTGTAGAGGTCATACCACAATGTCCAAAGGAAACACTGTAGAAATTTGAGGCGGATCCAGAAAAAGCAAAGCAACGTGTTCCAAAACAAGATCAGAAGTTCAGCGACCTGTGGAGAAGAAGGCCGCATAAAAGTGTTGGCAGAAGGCTCGATCTTCAGAAAGCTTGCTTGGTTACTCTCCTCACTTGCTTGTATCAGGGAATCTCGACAAACTTTCTCCTTTCGAGAGCTTTGAATGACGTTGATTGCATGCTTATCCTATTTGTGTAGAAGATTCTAGCACGTATGCCAAGGAAGGAAGGATCGTATGACGAGAAGATGAGACCCGAAGCAGGGTGTTCTTCGCGTTTTCTCCTTGCCTACGATGATCTTTAGTGCTCCACAGGCCGAGCATTTCTCTCTGCTCAGTGCCGGGGCTACGTATTTCATTCGTCATATGCTGATCTCTCCACCCACACACCGAATGCAGCGTGGGCGTTCAGAAACGTTCGCACCTTGGAGCTTAGAAGCATTGGTAATCTTTTCTCATGAATATTGCCATCGTAAGGTTTACAAGCCCACTGCTCCACAAACATCCGTAAGCTGTCAGCTCCATAACCAGACTTCTTCTCGAAAACTATCAGGTAAAAGATTAATATGCTTCGTGTCCTCAAGCTGAATGGGTGCTGCTGGGAAGGTTGTTTTACGACTCACATTATCCTTACAAATTGACAACATCCTGACAACTTTACGAGTTCTATTTCATTTGTTCCAACATAGAATTACAGCCTTTACTAGATTCTTCTTTTCCTTCAAAACCCAGTAATAACTAGTCGTCACTGTATATAATGCACCTACACCCGTCCCATCGATCGCACGTCCCGCTTCTGTTTCCACTGTTGAGACGGTAGCGAACCAGGACTTTGCACTTGAGAGGGCCTGAAAGTTAGGGAGGGGTTGTATTCCTCCTTCAGGATGTGTTGGCAGAAAGCAACGAATGACTGCGCTTGTGGACGGGTAACTCGCAGTAGTGCATTGCTGAGAAACAATTCACAGAGCGAGTATACACGCAGGATCTCAACTAACTCCCCCCGTTGTACTGGAAAAGGACAATCGACAGCAAGCCCTTCCAGTTCGAAATGTTGAAAAATTATCATGAATAGCACTACAGGGACAATATCATTATCAATCCATCTTAGTTTTCGCTGCTTCGCTGAAAGTCTGACTTTCAGAGAGTAGCGAGGCGGCGGAACTTCTCCCCGATTCCCCCCGTTTGCATGCGACGAATCTTTTTTAGTTGTATCGCGGCTTCAAACTGCAGTTACCGTACTCAGCCCCCTAGACCGCTTCCTGGCCGATAGGACACCATATTTTTCGTTAACTGCTTTACTTTTTGAAGAAAGCAAATTCGAATAATGAAAGGACTCTCTGAGCCATAGATTGCGCGCTCCAATCTTCTGTCGCACTTCTGCAATCCTCGGCGGATGCGGCAAGCGCGACACACTGTTCGGGGGGGATAATCCCGGATCACAGTACTACCTTTAGGTAACTGAGAGCGCTCCCAAATTTTTTTAAAGATTCAATTCAGAAAATTGATTTCCATGCGAGGCTCCTTAAAAATCTAGAACACTTTTTCCTTTTGTAGAGAGACATGTCCCTGCGATTGATGACCAATGAATTCCAATGATTTCATACCTTTCATTGACTTCAACATCGCAAAACACAAATCTGCACATAACAGTAACATATTTCAAATCAAAAAAATTCACATATTCTTGAATGATAGATGAAGCTACTGGTTGAGAACTTGTTGTTCAACACCTCATTCCCCACAAGCTGAAAACGAGAAAACGAATAGCCCAGCAAATAGGGTTGCTTAGAGCCATCATTTATCTATTCGACAGTTGAAAGGAAAATTGATAGTTCAGTGGGGAGTGAAATGTGAATAAGCATGCGTTCACGGGGCCGTAATAAAAAGCCGTTCTAGGTCCAACTGGATCGGAAAAGAATCCGCAAAGTATGAAAAGAGGGATGACGAGATATGCGGCCCTTGATATGATCCATGCGCAATGCATGTTGTTGGACATAACCGCTAAATTTGCGAAGCACCTTGTCATTCAGCTCGAACCTCACACACGACAGCGATATGCAACCCTGAACGTCGCAGTTTTACAGCACTAAGAATGGTGTTGGTGGCAGAGCATCTAGAGTTGCACCTCGCACTCAGCCGTAACGGTTCCTACCTACCATTAGAAGCGCCTAATGCCTCTACCTCCGGAAGCTCTCTTCAGGACTTCTGCAATCGAAGAATCGAGACACTAGAATCGCCATCTAAAGCTTTGCAAAGTAGAAAAATCCAAATCCGTTTCACTCGAAAAACAGAATTTAGAAAGAGAATGAGTTAAAAATCACCCTCCACCACCTTATCGTCTAACTACTTTTGATCGGTTTTCACCTTGGCATAAGCGTGAGCTTCAAAGGCACAGTTCACGATAATTTCGGGGTATTTAGTTTTATATATCAACAGTCGAGAGTAGTGCAAAAGTAAAACTGAAAATCTGCGTATTCGAAGGAGTATAAGGCTTTGAAAAAAAGGAAAATTAGGGGTTGGACGAGAATGTGACAACAAATGCTGCATGGTGCGGAACATTGGACCAGCTGTTCGAAAGCGCACGCCATTGCACACAGGTGGCTGCAATACGTTGCCTGCGTACAAGGTGTGGGTCCCGGTGCGAATGGTGCAATCTCTACGGCTTTAACAACATCGCGAGAACTCTCCCCCTTCGGGCATGTACAATGGGTTAGCCGGTTTGTGGGCCCTCGTTACGCTCAATCCAGGCTGTTTTTCGACCATACAGCGTTCCCTGTGCTCTCCCAATGGGTCACAGGTCCATTCTAAGGAGAAATCTCAGAAACCACTATTATCGTGAACTGTGTCTTTAAGTCTGAAGTTCAAGAGGTCAGGGGGACTGGTGCCGATCCGTTGAGCATAACTGGTGCAGCGCATCCACTCACTTCCTACATTTCAAGGTTCGCTAACAAAAGGGATTCCTAATCGGGAAAAAAGTCGAAACGTCTAGCGGCATATGTACTGCATATGGCATCATGGGTGAACAACCGGTCAATGAAGAGATCAGACATAGAGAAAGAACGCGCAATGAAGATTCTGAAAGGCCTAGGCCCCAGACAGATATGTGACATTGTAATCTCTACTACCCTAATAAATCTTCGCTCTAGCAGAATTGTAAATAATAACATCGACAAGCAATAAACAAATATACAACGATCATATTCAGAAAAGAATTCACGATAAAGAGAAAGTGAATACGGTGATTGTAAATACAACACATATGCGGAGAGGCATACTAAAACAGTATTACTGCTTCACAATGATGATAAGAGATCACAGACGCGCAGTTCGAAACCAGCAAAGTGCTCAGGGGCACGGATGTAGGGCTACATGTAGAGGTCATCAAAGGACCAGGGACGATCATGATAGGAACTAAGTCGTTCACACGTATACCGGAGTGAGGTTGTGACTTTTCTCGAACTCAGTCCATCGTGCATCATCACTTTCGTGGGTCAGGAAACGTTCTCCAACGGCCTTTTCCAACAAACGAAGATCTGACCACAAGTCATAACCCTAAAAGTTTGCTTTTCAATAAACCATAATGGGATGACATAAAAAAAACCAAATGACCGAAAAGGGAGGTCTATTGTACCCCAAATCCGTTTCTGAGTCATTGTAAAACTCGATCTATCAAAACTTGGTTCATCCATGCTTTGGTAATCCCTAATGATGTCAAACGTACACCACGATGGCCACCACCCGGATGGTCAAACTACTTCACGAAAGTTCTGACCGCATGATTTGCTTCGGTCACTCGAACTAGAGGGTGCACTGGCTTGCAGGAGCTTGCGATAGGAAGAAATGGAGACGTTATCAACGACCGCTCAAGCAATTCGATGATCAACGTGACGACAGGTGGTAAAGCATGCTTTAATATGCCCAGTGGATCATAATTAAGTCCCTAACTGTATGCGTCAATTTCAGGTCAGAGAGTAATTTCTTAGAGTATAGTCGAAACCGGTAGAAAGTGCGGTCGAGCTCTCCAGAAGCGCAAAAAAGGGTAGAGTTCAGATCGTCCGATTTCGAATGTCAAACATTGAACAGATCGCCTTTTTCGAATTATTTTTCGGTAAATCGAGTGATCACCCTGTTTGGAACCTTTAGTCTTTCCCTACTCGGTAGGCCTTACATTCTTGACTACGAATAAACACGTGGGCTGTTAACTCGTCCATTTTCTACGAGATCCTATATAACCTTCGCACAATCGCCAATGAAGGTCACACCAGTCAGTTTCTTCCAAAAAGAAAGTTCTACGGAATGTATTGTAGGCAAAAGCGAAGGTTTGGAGTTTATCCCCGGACCGAGTATAAACGTCCTTACCTGCATCCAGATGTGAGAGAGCGCTTTGGACACCGTAAACCGCTTGTTCATTTTCACCTGTAGCAGCCCATTTATGAATTCGATAGCTGAAAATAGCAGCTTATAACGTCAAACATCCATCATAAGTATCGAAATAGAAATTATGATATCATTCCCACTAATGACGTGGTAAAGAGCAACATCAGTCATTGGAATTTTTTGTAAAACTGGCGTCATCGAAAGGGCGCAGAAGGGCGGAGGTTTGTAGGATTCTGAGCGGACAGACGGAGAACCCATCAACGAAGTGTGCCAGGCAGTATTGTTGTCACTGCACCAGGTAGCAAGTGAGAACCTCATACTGGGCTCCCTGTTTCACAACTCCGCCATGGGAAGAAGTATATGACTATACACGAGATCATGACGCTGCCGCACAATGATTGGTCTAATTATACCCGTCCTCTTGATTACAAACTTAACTCTTAACGGGTAACTAGAAAGTAAACGAAAAAGAAAGGGAAGGAATGTGACAGAACTGCCCGGATTCATACTCCCTCATCGTTCAGTAGGACACCTCCATTTTTGTCATTTTCACAGAAAAAGCTTGCTGCTCAACGAGAGTCAGGGGTACACATTCACCAACCTGAGTCGCCAATCTCCTTCCAAGGATTCGGTGGATACATGAACTCAGCATTTTGTATTTGATCGTGGATATCCTCGTCTTCATTGAAGGGGAATGTCCCAGAAAGGCTAAATGATACCATATGAGCATAATCGAGATATATTACCAAACAACTCGGGACTTCAGCACAAACTTTTGAATGTTACTTCGTCATCGCCTACTTGTCACACCTGTAAGACGTCCTCCTCTCAGGAGAAGTGCAGCCGCAAGCACATATGTACGTATAAAGTTAAGCGTGCACCATGTAGGTAGAGACCCCGGCAAAACTCACTACATTCTCGAAATGGCGGCTAACTAGTCTCTGTCAATGGGAAAACTGGTCTAGTCATTGTCTCCCGATAAGCGGTCAGTGGACAAGTCTCATTTTGCTTACCTAACATAGACTATGACGCCAACACTCCACATGTCGAGAGACCGGTTGAAGCCTTTGTTCCGCAACACTTCTGGAGCTAGATAGGCTGGAGTACCTACTACCGATCTTCGAAACGACTTCTCACCGATGATTCGGGCAAAACCAAAGTCGCATAACTTCACCTGCAAAAGGAAAAATTGTAATTTTCAAAATGATCAGGTATATTTAATCCACGAAGTTCCTTTTTTTGTGAGAGAACGTGCTCGTAGAAGAAAAGGAAAACTGGGTCATACGGTCAAAGTTAGCCCCAAAATGTATAAGAACAGGAATGAGGTGATGTCTGCCAAAGTAAAGTTTACAGCCGCTGTTGACGGCCTTATGTGGAACGTGTCAGCATATCCCACCGTAAGGTATTGCGACACTTGCGACACTACAGCGTTTGGGTTCCCTACAACAGCACCACTCTAGATTGCCAGCTGTCTTAGAACTGAAGTCGCATTACATTTCAATTATTGAAGTTAACCTTTCTGACTCCCTAGATCACATTAAAACACGATTTGGCGCTCAATAAAAGTGAAACAAGAAATGAAAACAGAATAAAATGTTTTTTGAAGAACCTGTGGAAAGTCGGAGTTTGAAGTGAGGAGAATATTTTCTGGTTTCAAATCACAGTGGACGATGTTCTGATTGTGAAGATAGCGTAGAGCGACAAGAATCTGTAATAAGTGAAAATCAGCGTCATCTTGTGTTGGATGTCACAGGAATCATAGAGAACATCGATCATGAACAGTTCTTAATTTACTGCCAGTTGATCGAATCAACTTCCAATCATTTCCGCTCTGTGAACGCGTCAGATCGAATTAATTTCATATTCTCGAACAAAGGTCCAAGGTCACCATACCAATCAACATATAAACAAACAACTTAGCAGGCAAATTTGAGTAAAGAGAATCGGCGGCATCATCATAGGATAAGTGTGCCGAAACATGCAAGCCACAGAATCTTGTACGCAGAGAGTAAACGTCCAAAATTGCGGATGACTACGTTCAGAGTCTGCGATTTTGTCGATCTTGGTGACAGCAATTTGGGCTTGCGCTGATTGTGAAGCTCTAGCAAACTATGTTGGTACCGTCCAGAATGAGTGAATGATTAATCAAATTCTCCGGTGGTATAAGAAAGGCAAAAGAGATAAACTACTCTACGAAGCGCATACCAACCTGTGCAACTAGAAACTGCGTAATACGTTCACTCAGTCGCCCTTTCTCGCTCGACAATATCATCTCCAACATGTCTCCCTGAAGGAAGGCAGCACATATGTGAGGGNGTGGTATAAGAAAGGCAAAAGAGATAAACTACTCTATGAAGCGTATACCAACCTGTGCAACCAGAAACTGCGTAATACGTTCACTCAGCCGCCCTTTCTCGCTCGACAATATCATCTCCAACATGTCTCCCTGAAGGAAGGCAGCACATATGTGAGGGGCGATATGAAAAATCCTGTTGTGAGAGAGGTCACCAAACAAACCTTTAACTTCTCCATAACTACGAAAATCCGATCCGGAGTTTCCAACATCTGCTGGAAATCGACAACGCCAGGATGGTGTACTTTCTGAACAGGAATTAGTTGATGGGAGGGAGCAAAAGATGCAAATTCTCATAACTTTTGAACATGAAAGAAGTAAGGAAGAGTAGCCGCTCCTGGGTTGGTCCATGTAAGCAATGAAAAAAAGAGTTCCTCTGACTTGACTCCTACCTGCAGTATATTTACTTCAGTACGTAACAAATCCTCCTTGTTAGGAGGGAACTTCAGTTTGTCGATGAGTTTAACCGCAACGTGCCTGCCGGATTTCCGATGAATTCCACCATAAACGGTACCAAATTGGCCAGAGCCAAGAATCTGAAGCGTATTTTTACATCTAGGGAAGCAATTTGCGTAGCAATGATTAGAAGTCGAGGAGAGCGCCCACGATTCACTTTGAGAAGAAAATTAGAGGGACTGCCCTTCAGTGATATCCTATAGCACCACACCTGAACATGGAATAGGATGGTTTTTCCCAGACCAGTCAACTCTGTGGGAACAGACTGTGGAAACAAGATTATCTGACTCGATTAAAAGGGCGTCTAATGCCTAATCCTGCCCCGTTTCCCAGATAGAATGAACGTACATGGAAAAAATCTCCTTATTCTACGTTATCTGAGGTAGCATGACTATGGGTACATATATCGACTACAACGACTGAATGAGACTCCTTTAGGGACAGTCGTCACACTGAGTGAGTACGAAAGAGAAGAGCAGGTAAAGAAAGATACAAGAGCATCCTCATGAATGAAATGTGAAGGTTTGGGACATTTTCTCTCCGAAGGAATAAAATCAAGAACACACCTCTTCAGCAAATATCTGATATAATTGGGAGAACTCCTGTTCACTCTGGATGGTCGAACCAAGGTGACCTTTTTCGCCTAGAAATAAATATTGAGCTTATCAATGAATTTCATTTATCTCGAACCAACTAACCTTCAGTGGGCACTTTGAGTTTCACCATGTCGTTTGCTCGCTTTTGGCCACCTATGGATGACTGCGGTGTGACCGGCATTAACGCCGCTTGGATCGCCGCCGACCATGATTGAGCTGAGTCGAGCGAATTCTCTTCGGATGGAGAACCAGCTTAAACGAAAAAGCGGTCACAGTGATCTGAGCGACAGGAAAAGAATGATGGACAACAGAACCAGTCTTGTTGACAGCTTTCATTAGTTTGATGGAGAAATTTACTTCTTTATACGATTGTTTATATTGGAAGGAAAAAACAAAGCGTAAAACTCATTCAAACAGATCTAGAGAGAAGTAAAAATTAGGTGTCAGGTACAAAAATGAAATTCATTCCAGTACATTTGTATAGTGTAGCTCTCGAATTATGTGGTATCGATCTGACTCTTTTCTATTCATAGGAAAGCCGTCAGCCCAACAAAGTTATGTCATTCAACTTTTCTATTCCTCTGCCTACACCCTCAGAATACCTTATCCCCTTAACCTTATAGAACGCTTGTTGTGGGTATCACGTGAAGGGGACCTTTGAGGGATTCCTATTCCACTGTCATCATCCTCGAAAACCCTTTTTGCCTCAACTCGGAGAGGGTCTTACATACAGGGGAATACAAAAGACCTCAAAGCAATACTGGTTACTATTGTTCAGCAGTTGGTTTCCTCATTCACCCAGATGGTTTACCCTTCCTAATAGGATTCATTCAAATTGGAACCAAGGGCCATTCACCAAAGGCCAGGAGTACGTCGTCCAATGAGCCTAGGCGTTTCTTATGAATAAGTTTATTAAGGCAGATTATTTTTAGGTTTATGGAATAAGGCTCCACTCGGCGAAAAACTTCAGCCAGTGCAGGGCCTTCTGCTAGCACTTCTTTTTAACATATAGAACACAGGAAGTAAAG